CAAATTTCCTTCCGTAGAATTTTCTAGTTTTTTTTCTGATGATTCCTTTCGACGTTATTATCATATTGGAACAATAAAAAGAAGGGGTCACCGGACTTGTTTTCATGCAATAGCTTTCGTGAGTTTAGCAATTTCCACGCGCGTTCTCGCGCATTTAAAAATCTGGATTCTATAAGATCGACATTTGCTCATGATCTGTTTTAGCTACCGCTGACAATTGCGTGTGCTCGCGCGAGCACCTACGATCTGATGTTTACAGACGTTTACTGCTAAGAAAATCATTAAACAGCCGTCAAAGACAGCCTCCCGAGCTCATCTTAAAAATCCTACACATGACTTCTGGCTATATCATATTATTTTCCTTGAAGTTTCAAAGTCTTCTCTCACTTCAGGTAGATTATCCTTCACTTGAGTTCTTCTTTTTTCGCCGTAGCAAGATTTCATATCGGTTGAATATTTCTTTTAAATGTGAAGTGAAGCAACCTTTACTTCTCCGAAAATCGTCTTCGTTATCTTATTTTCTATTTTCTGCATTCATAGTGGCCGCTCGACACATCAAATACAAGCTCTTAGGTAATCTTCTCACAAAAGTAGAAAAAATTCCACGCGCCGCCATCTTTGTTTTGAGTTTTCATCTTTTGATCTCGCGCTTCTTTCGCACGTTTCTCTCGCGCGCGTCACTCAAGAGTGACCTGTTCCCCGCGCGAGGAAACTGCTACGAGCCACCTTAATATTCTGATTGTAATTGTGTAGGCTGTTTCCGTTTTTAAGTTCGCCTACTTGTCATAAAAACCAACTGTTGTTTCGAAAATGTCTAGCTATTCTTTACATTTTAGGAACCTAACGTGAATTCAAATTATTACAGAATTAACGTAGCACTATTAAAAGCAAGTATTCAGAAAATTATTTGTCAGGTTTCCTAAATACTCATTGAGAGCCAAAATTAATTCAGGTGTCCAGCTTCCATTGATAAAAGTTTAGAGGATAATTTCTTGGCTTCTAAGTCAACAAGTTAGTTTGACTCTTACTTGGAAATTGCCATGAAACCTCACAAATTGATGAATTCATTAAACATTTATCTCAAGCGCCATTATTTGCCAGCCGGATCGGGGGGGGGGAGGTGGGGGTGGGAAAATTTTGACGGAAACAATTAAGAAGTTGTTGGGGGAGACATGCCTATGTGGCTCACAAATCCTGGTATTGTTGCTGAAAACCAAAATCTGTTCATTGAGCAAAACGCTTGAGCAGTAAAATGATATGAATTATAGCATAACATCCTAATGTACTACATGTATTTTGATATAATTCTAAGAAAAGATATTTGAAAACAGCTGTCTAAACTGAACATGAAATCGCGCGCTGTCAAGTTTACTTCCCTCCGGTAGGGCAAGATATCCTGCATAGAAGTCTGAGACCACTAGACCCATTTCCTTTTTGGCGATTTACAGCTGTTATTAAAGATGATTGTTAGAAAGCGTCCTTCCTCCTTCTGTACGTTAAAAATGCGTTTAACTTCTTGGGTCAAGGGTTATCAAGGTTGTGGTCCATGCCCAGACAGGCAACCACGCCAGTGTTGTTGAATGGATATACGTACATATTTTTTAAAGTTGAAAGTCAAATAGTTGACTTGGGGCTGAAGGTTATATCCTGGGTAGCGAACAAGACGATTGTGACACCTCTGATTCTAGAATCAGTCTCGGTACGCGGGGGTTATTGTTCTTGTTTTTTTTGTTTGTTTGTTCGTTTTTTTTTTTCATTCTATCTATGTACAATTTAGAGGAAAAATTGTATAGAAACGGCTTTAGTTAAAGCCAGCCAGGAAACACTTGCAAAGTAAATCACCTGATGCACGTTTAATGTTTCATCATTTTAAATTAGACGCATACTATGTGGTGCTATTCTAAGTTTAATAGATGAATGCAAATTACGGTACCGGTCTGTATTTTGCTTACAAATTGCTCTAGCTTACTCAATATAGGGGTTTTAAAGACAATATTTTTATGCCCTTCAAGTGAGATATCATTATGCTCATCACAAATATTACGTGTGGAGAAAATTAAAACGTGGGTAATGGTCAGATTCATTAGGTTACAATTTGCTGTGTGGTTTATTTAAGTCTTGCGGTTTTTGCTTGATCTAGAGTGGAAAAA